CACCACCTGTTGAGCAGCTCCACACCCACGCCCGGGTACCAGAGCAACAATGGACACCTTGCTCTCTGAGTAGTCAGCCCCCCGCGCGCGCTGCCCAGCGCTCATGCCAAAAATTGTGTTCAATTATAAAAGTAATGATTAACACGCTAATTCAAAAACATATCACGCAAAAAGACACATCAAGAACAAGAACAATGCAGCGAGCAGGCATGAAATGCCTACATGGCGTCCAAAAGCAGATTGTACAAGTGAGAGGGCGCTATGACGCGGCGCAAACTTCTATATTCAAAAAATATTGCTCGAAACTATGAAATGGAAAATTTTCTTAACTAACTAAGGGTCCGTTTATGGTTAACAAGAATTGTTAACGTTTTTTTTAAAAAGAGCGAGAGAGAGGGAACAGGGGGCAAGGCTGAGAGCAGAGCCCGCATGGTAATTCCCCTCATTCCCCCTCTTAATTTGACATCAGCCAACTTTACACTCGGTCTGCTGGCGCGGTTCACGGAAGAGAGCAGCAGCAACAAGAGGGGAAATAAAAATGGGGGGAGGGGGGGGGGCTCCCCGCTATGCTTCCTCCGGCCACCGCAACGCACCGCCGGATGGAAGTTGAAAGGAAAGTTGAGCGTGTTTCGCGCGCTTTTGTTTCTTCTTCTTTTTCTTCATCCTCCCGCGCGCGGGCGAGATAGTTGGCTCTGTCAGTTTAATTTCAGCCCCCCCCCCTCTCCCCCTTCCCAAATCTCCCTTATCCCTCTCTACCCCCAACTCCGCGGAAAGGGGGGAGGGGGGCGTCGCTTCGCTATGCAGGCGGCCACCGCCGGAGCGGAACCGAGCAGAGTACCGGTGGGACCCCCGGAGCCGCCCCCTGCCGCCCCACGCAGAGTCCCCCGGCCCGCCCCCGGCCCGGAGCGGATCCTGCGATAAGGCTTATCCGCGGCGGCCTGGCTACACCTACATCAGCGTCATCTCCACCCACTCCTCTTCCTGCTCCTCCCTCCGAGCGGCGCAGGTGTCCGTAGCTTAAGCCCACCCCAGCAGCCTGCTCGCGGCCGTTCGAAGACGATCCCGCCCGCAGCAGGAGGAAGGCGCGGCGGCGGCGGCGCTCAGCAATGAGACTCACGTTTCCTTGTAAACAGTCGGCTCAGCCAAAGTTTAATGATCTCTGACGCACAGTGGCTTCTCTTGGCTTCTCCCTTCTTCCCCGCCCCACCACGTCCCGCCACGCCGCGACGCCGCGAGGGCCGCGCGCAATCCTCCCGTCTTAAAAGCTCCGAGCGGCCTATAACGCTGCTACTGGCTAGAGCTGAGTGAGCAAGGCCTTCCTCCCCTCTTCCTCTCTCCAAACTCCCGGAGCGGCGCCGCCCGACCGCACCACGGGCTCCTCCTCCTCCTCCGTTCCTCTCGCTCGTTTTTGCGCTAATTAATTCCGAGTGTGCAGGTGTGCTGCTGGGGCAGACGGTACACGTGCGTGTGTGTGTGTGTGTGTGTGTGTGTGTGTGTGTGTGTGTGTGTGATTGTGTGTGTGTGTGTGTGTTTGCGTACGCTTGGTGCTGCTGCTGGTACGCTTCCTCCCTCGCGTCGTCCGTATTCGTTGCACTTCCCTCATTTCGGAATGGCTCCCGGGGGACGAAGATGAGTGATTAATAATTACGCCATCGATCCGCCCTTCCATCCCCTCCTACACCTCACCCCCAACCCCTCACCCCCTTTCCCCCGGTTCCGCTCCCCGTGAAGCCCACGCCGCGTTAAGCCCGCAGCTTGCATGCTAGCTGGGCACGCACACGTACACACATCACAGGAAGCTAAATCAAACAGACCTCTCGGCCGGTTACACTCTCAGCAGGTCTTGTATACTGAACTTTATTTATTTATCTTATGAGATGGCCATGTTTTTTCATGCACCACGGGATTACGGACCAATTTCTTTAGTTACCATACAGTGCATATTTTTCGTAAGAAACCAGTTACTGCTGAAAACAAAATCAGTAACAAGGGTGAGAGTATACATGTGGGAGGTTTCCGCCCAGTCCAAGTGGGAGTGAAAAACACGTATGTGAGTGTGTGTGCGTGTGCGCGGCGCGTACGTGATATTGGACCGCGCCGCCTGTACAACGTACCACAATGTACCGCGCGTCCAATCTCGCGCCGCGCACAACAGAAATGGGCTGAAGCACCTGCTGCACCGGGACGCGACGCACACGGCGGCGGCAGGGTGGGCGGGCCTGTGGGCGGCGTGTCGGGGCCGTATGAGAAAGAGGGCCGCCCGAGCCGAGCATTGAACAATGTGTAATATAATGCGTGCGAAGCAGGCCAGGCCAGTTTTGTGTCGCCACCGGTACAAAGTTGCTGCCGGGGCCGGCTTGGCCTGGCTTGGCTGTGTGGGTGTGGACGTCACGCCATCCCTTTTATTATCATAACCACAACAAGCGCTACTCTATAACCGCGGTATAATGAGGTAGTCGGTCGGAGGACCCCGCGGCGAGTGCGGCCGCTCCCGCGTAAT